TAACCCCCTGGAGCTGTGTGGAGCACTTTTTATGATAGATGGATGTACTTTATTGGTCTTCAAAATCTCAAAACCCATTCACTGCCATTATAAGGCTTGGAAGAGCCAGGACATTTTTTAATATAACTCCGATTGTATTAGTCTGAAAGAAAAAAGTCATAAACACCTAGGATGGCTTGAAGGTGAGCAAATCATGGGGTAATTTTTGGGGGAACTATCCCTTTAATACCTTCAGAATATGGACACTTATTTGTCGTCTTGTACTGAGCTTAAATGTTATTTTTAAGGAAAAGTACATCCAAAAATTTTTCTATAAAGTCAATCGAAACCCATATGTTAATTCTTTAAAGGATTTTCAGTGAATTTAACTGAGTCAGGGTAGCACCATATTTAATTTTTAAAAGGAATCAAATTGAGGCTGTAAAGGATTGGACAGTGCATTAAATGGATTGGTATTTAACAAAATACTGATTGTGCAGCTGACAAAAAGTCTTTCAGAAAAAAAAAACCTTGCAGTAGACAAAAACTCCATAGAACAGTTTTTTAAGTTGTGGATGTGGCCTAATGGTTAGAGAGTCGGACTTAATAGTTAGAGAGTCGGACTTGTAACCCAAAGGTCACGGGTTTGAGTCTTGGTACCTGCAGGGATATTAGGTGGGGAGAGTGAATGCCCAGCGCTCTCTTCCACCCTCAATACCCACGACTGAGGTGCCCTTGAGCAAGGCACCGAATCCCCAACTGCTCCCCGAGTGCCACAGCAAAAATGGCTGCCCACTGCTCCTGGTGTGTGTGTGTGTGTTTGTTCACTACTCACTGCTGTGTGTGTGCACTTGGATGGGATAAAAGCAGAGCACAAATTCACAGTATGGGACACCATATTTGGCCACACGTCACGTTCACTTTCACTTAAAGTTGAGTTGTGAAAATGATGTGATTTAGGACCTTTATACATTATTTATGTAAGAACGTAAGTCTTTCTCTCACATCCTTGTGTTAAAATTAATATGGCATCTAACCTGACTAAGCGCTATAACAACTAAATTTCAATCTGTTCATCAAACAAAGCTATAGTACAAGTTTAGAAGACTTGAAATAGACACAGTCACTACAATCTGTTGTTGCATGGTTTTGAGCTGCACTTCACAGCATATGGTTTTGAAATGACATGAAGGTGAGTAAATAATGATAGAATCCTCATTTTTGGGTGAACTATCCCTTTAAGCACTGAAAACAACAGCAAAATGTTGTTGTAAATCAGGTTTATGTAATTTGCTTCACCCCTTCAGATAAAGCAAAAACAGAAGTGAAGCATCATGTCAATCAGCCAGACTAAGCACAGCCACGGAGCTTCGCATGATCAATAAAGGGCTCAAGGGTCATGGCTCTGTACATGAAAGGGTGTGTGTTCAATCAGCACCATTACTGCCCAACAACATCCCTAGAAGCTCTTCTGACCTGTTAAAAGTACACAGTGACAAAACCTAGCAATTTTCTTTCCATTTGTGACAGGTGAGGTTACAGGGGATAAAGGGTAAAGGAAGGATTTTCCATGCTGCAATGAAAGAGGAGTGCAGGGAAGTGGAAGGTTAGAATAATCTAACCTTCAGAGGACAAATAAACTGTACTGTGTGTGAAATGTGTTACGGTTATCTGACCATCAATTGTGAGTGAAAATCTCTATGCCTACTAACAATGGGACAAATTATCTAATAATAATCAAAAGTGCCTGATTTTTATGCCTCAATGGATTATCAGTACTTATTTATCACTGCTGATTTACTCAAATACTTATTTATTGAAAAGCGTAATCATTTTAACATATATAAATATTTTGTCAATTTATTTATTTACTCATTAATTAATTCATTCATTTGTGACCATTAATGTATTTTTATTTATTATTTTCATTTTATTTTTATTTATTTATTTTTTTTCACGAAGAGCTGTGTTATAAAACTTTTTTTTTTTAATGAAGATGCCTCAATATTATGTTTTAAGTTAAATATTTAATGGATAATGTTCAGTCGTCCAGTCATAATTGCAAAATAAACTCCTTCAAGATCATATAATGATAACAATGTTGCAGTTTATTTTGCAATAATGAGGCATCTGCATAAAAACTAGACAATATAACCACAGAATAAAAATTCATAATCTAAACCATTAAAATATTGTGATAAATATTGTGATAGTACTAGATTGCTTTTTTTTTTAAAATCAAGACTGATAGTTTCAACATATTTCACACTTTGTACATTCAGCAAAACTGTCACCTCATAATTGAAATAAAAAAAAAATCAAAATATTTTTAAGAATATTAACAGCATGTATATCTCACATTCAAAAGAAGAGCTGGGTTAGTTTCTTTTGTGAGGGGAGGGTATAATTGTGCATAACTGTTGTGTCATGCACAAATGCATTCCACAGTGCCTCAGCCGGCCGACCATTCAGATCACATACAGCATCCAGATCAGCTGTTAGTACACAGTCAAAAAGTCCACATTCAGTTAGTGCTGACTTCTGTAAAGTCTTTAGAGATACCTGATGAATGAAAAATATGGAGGGAGGCAGGGAGTGGGGAGGGGCAGGAGAGTGTTAGACGTTAGGGGAGGGGTAGGGCGCTCCAGGACTCCTAGTCGATCACAGATCCACACTTTGAGGGCGTACGACAGCTCTAAAACCATAAAAGAGTAAGAGGGGAGTAAAAGAGGTGAAAAAACAGATGAAAGTGGAGGTCATGATCTAAATCGACCTTAAACATGGCCAGCCAGGTTTCCTGAAACATATGTCATGAACTTGGATATTGAGAGAGTTCACACTAAGAAAAAGGACTATAACTTTTTCACTCGCCACCACACAGCTTGACTTAGTCAACATATATGAAGGCTAATCAGGTAACCAGTCAAGAAAATGTAGATCGTAATTTTTATTTCTTACTCCAAATTGATGAAAAAAATAACATTTTGATTTTAGGTTGGAATGCCTTGATATGGTGAATCTCAAAAACATAACATATCACCCAGGAATAAAAAAATAAATAAAATAAATATATATATA